CGCAGATCACTAGTTGTCCTTATCTAGCACCTAATTTCGACACAACTCTCGTCGGACGGCAACATGGTGTCCTAGTTCAGCTGGTAAGTTGACCCAACTTGATAACATAAATGTAAGCTACCGTTGGTGTGGCTCAGTACAGAATTGTAGATCCCGTTGGAATACCTGTGTTGAGTCTGATCATGCACTAGTTCTGTTGCGCTTCACTCTTCGACTCACCCGTCATCGTCAAAAATCGCTTCCTCAGCACACCTATACGATCCATCTGCTTATGCATGTTATGAGGAGAGTTCAGTTCAGTTCTCATAACCATTAACCATGCACTTTTGTGCGCCAGTTTTGATTGCCCATTTTGATAAGAGAGCAGAATGAGGATTAGAATATCGAGAGCAAATTCAAGCGGAAGATAGCGTTTTATATAGACTGATGATATAAGAATACTGAGTAGGTGCATGAACACCACTGTTTGCGATACCCAGCCATATCACTCAGTGTCTCTAGCCATCAATTCAGTTCAGTTCAGTTTGTACAACCATTAACCACGCATATTCGTGCATCGGTTTTGGTTTCTGTCCTTTGGCTGCCCATTTAGATGAAGAATAGGAGAAGAAGAGTTGAAAGTGGAGTCGAAAAGAAAATGGAGTTCAGTGGTCCAAGGTTGCAAAGAGGTTGACAGGATGCACGAACGCCACTGGTTGCAACACCCAACCATATCACTCAGTGTCTCCAACCATCGGTTACGATCATTGGCTATTACTAGGGATTACTTTGATCAACATTGCTTATAAACTTTTCGCTGACATCAGCAGGAGAACGATTAGGGTTCTCGTCCAAAGCCTATAGTTCTAACAAGAACCTTACTGCAGGACAGCAGATGAAGTGGAGTGGAGGCCCATTTACTTGAATCTATCACTCCTCTACCAGTTTTACTGACAGAAACGCTAACTCGACTCGAACCCCCAACCTGGATTACCAGGAGACGACTTCGTCTGAGCTATACCCTTCCAAAATCCAGGCATGATTAGATAATCGATTTGGCAAAAGACTATCCTGTGTAGCCCGTTGAATCAGATAAATGCACAAACCATCATACTACGTCAGGCTGCAGTGTCGTCGCGGTGCCCGACCGTTCGTTCAGTTTTGCTTCATGGTCTCAAGTCCTTGAATTTTCTTCGCCTGTAGGTTTTCGACAATCGACACTTACGTAGTATTGTCCAAGTTTAACGGAGTGAGCGTGTTGGTTAAGTAGATGTAAACAATCGTGTGTTCGGGAATATCTCGAAGATAGTTTCGCTGTCGCGTTGAATTCAACTGTGTGACGATTGCTTACCGCACGGCGCCTTGGTTGCAGTTTCCGCTCCAGGCTGGAACAGCCTTGTGGAAGCCAGCAGTTGACTGGGATACGATGCACGAAGAAATTCACAGAGCGATTAGGTAGAATTGACGTCTCACGTCTTCCAGGCAGAGATCCAGAACATTCCGTAACCAGTTACTTGGAAGCACTGAAGGACATGGCAGCGATCCGACGGCAGTGGCATTGTTGTCACTTCCTATCAGATATTATCATTATCATGTAATGTTTCGCACGTCTGAGTCCAGATTGTGCCAAACAATGTTTTGGTGGCGTTACTACCGGGCTACTACCGCCGCTTTGGTGGGAAAACACCACCCCTTGTAGGTAGTAAATAAGGCTTCCTCAGTGGAGGCTGGTTGAGACTCTTGATCGTACTTCGTGAGGAATATTCACCAACCACAACCCATAACATCCCGACCGTACTGAGGCTTTCGGACCCAGAATGCTTGAAAAAGTGTACGTGCACTGTGTCTCAATCATATAGGTTTTTTTCTTCTTGTCCTACTCTTTGGAAATAGGCCCAATAACTGCACACCTTTCGTATACTCATTTGCCGTGCATGCATTGTGAGTTCGGCAGAGATCATTGAAGTTCACTATACTGTGCAATGATGATGTAAGAGCGGGGGATTTTCTCAACATTGTGT